TACGAGAAGCATCTCAAAGAGGCACATTCTTGCCAAGAGCCTACCAAACCTTAAGAAAAGAACTATATTACCCTGTTGTTTAATATTCAATCCCTTTTTATCTTTTCGTTTATGTGTTATCGAACATTTTATCTCATGCAATTGAATCAAAATCAACTACAACAATAACCAACTCTGTAAATAACATAGCTCAGGTTTGAACAAAGTGAAAGGGAGTACCTTTACTCGTATACATAATCAGATCTCATGGTGCTATATATTCTAAATTCACAACACTAGAGAGAGCAACAGCATCACACACAACACAAACTCTGCGCTTCTGTAAATTAACAAAAACCTAAAGAAACAAGCGTGAAAGAATAGATATATATGATGATGAGAGCTTTGGTTGTTTCAGTCACTGAAGTCTACACTTCCACTGCGTGAGCTGCTGCCATCGCGGCTATGCAAAGAAAGGCCTCTCATATGACCTGGTAAACCCGAGGCACCGTCGACTTTCTTCTCCTTGAAGAATTTTTCCCTCTCAACGTGTTTTGCAGGTGGTGGTGGAATCACAACAGGCGGAGATTGCGAATGGCTATCACCACCGCGTGATCGCTCCTCTGATGGTAAAGGACGAATAAGTGGACGGTGGAGTCTTTCGCTATGGATTGCTGATCCAAGTAAGGCTTGTGGAGGTGATGGCTCTTCTTCATCCTCAGGCCTTGCTCTAGCTTTCCCTTTTCGCAATCTGCAAGCAGACATTCACATGGATCCGTGGACTTAACATCAAGAATAACCATTTTAGATCCAAGAACCTTATGAGGCCATTAACTTTGTAATTTCCAATTAGAGATTGAGCAATGTAAGGGGACAGACCTTCTGAATAGCTGCTCAGGCTCCTCTTCCTCATCTTCATCCTCAAGCTTAAGATGACCTGGTTTAGAGATAGAGCTGCTTGATTCGGTATTTGCATTAGAAGTCTTTAGCTCCAGTTTCTGGTGACCGTTTGAGCTAGGACGCACAGGTTCGAGATTGGAATGATATCCATTGGATGTAGTTGATCTGATTCTACCAGATAGCAAATCTTCATGTCTATTGAGAATTTTCTGAAGTTGTTCATTCACTTCAATTGCTTGAGAAACTGCTCTTTCATCCCTGCATAAACAAAAATTGGCTGACATACTTGAAAAGAAAAAATGCTTTTACCATGTCGTGTAAAGTAAGAGAGAGGGAAACTTGCCTCGATGTCATGACGAGGTGCATTACACGCTCTTTCTGAAACGAACATTGCTCGACAAGATCAAGAGTAAACTCATCTCTTGCCCCCTGGATGGACAAAAGTCAAATTGGAGTCAGCTCTCACTCTCAGGCTAAGAGATCAAAAAAGAAGCCAAAGAATGTCTGTTTAATGGAGTTAACAATACAAAAGTCATAAGGTATTATTAATATACCTCAGGATTTTGAGAATCAACTGCGTCAAGCACTTCCTTCAAAACTTCTAATGCAGTACTAGCCTTTTGTAAAATACTATAAACAAAGAGATAAAATAGCATAAGGTCTCTCAACATCAACTAATAATTTAGATAACTGACATGTGGAGAAGAAGTTACCTAGAAGGAGAGGCAGTTTGAGATTCTCGCTGCTGAGTAGTCGCAGCCCCGTCATTTCTAGCAGATGCAAGTTGTTCATTGAGCGTATTTCTTGGAATCGCTTGAGCCGAGACCACAACTGGTGCTGTAGAATTAGGTCTCTGTGGAAATTTAACTCCTGCATGCTGGAGTTAACAGAAGATAAGAAAGAGAAAAGCTCTCAGTCTCATCGAATTTCGCTTATGAAAGAACAGGATCACGGAAGTAGAATGTTTTTGTTTTAAACTCACCACTAAATCATAGTATGCTGTATAATACTGAGGGAATTTCCCTGAAGCGCCACCAAGGGAAGTTTGAGTTGCATCAAGAAGGAGAAAAATCCTCTCTCTTACAGGCAGATCCGACTAAAGGGAGTGTTCCAATGATGCCAACCAAACAATATGCAAACTAAAATAAGCAGCTTAACTCTCAAATTTGTAGGGAAGTAACATCCAGAAACAGAGATGAACATACTTTTTTCTTTACTATCTTCACAAGTGTGGGGAGTACACCCGTATCTATAACCAGCTTATGAATATTCTCTCCAATATTATTCATCAACATCTCCAGCAACTACAAGGGAAAATTAATAAGAGTTTCGATTACCAAAATGTTCATAGGTTTCTGACATTCTCCTAAAGTATGATTCTACGGTAAAAGATAGATCTACACCAGTAACCTACCTGGACAGCATATAATTGAGTATTTGAGTTTCTGCTTCCCAAGCGTTTTTTTATAGCCTTGATAACATCTTTAGCTTGCCTGTTTACAGTAGAAGAACACATATCAGAAGAAAAAAGAAAAAGTATGTCCAAAACGACACAGAAGTAAAGTGTCCGTTTATCTCCATTGGCATTACATAATCATTGAGGGTGATTAACATCAAACAAACAGCAGCTAAAGATTGGCGAACATATCACCTTTTACAAAAAAAGAAAGGAAGCAGCTGATTGTGGTCTAAGCTTCAAATCATGCACTAGTGCCGTACTTATATTAAAAAGATTTGAAAAACGTTATATGGCTCGACATACCTTTCATCTCGAGCAGCTAGTTCACAGATCTCAATGTTTTTGGCCCAGTCCACATCAGCAAGCTTTTCACTTGTTGCAGAACTAACAAGCTCCGCAGCCATATTTGGTTATCTGCATGAACCAGAGATCATTAGCAAACTACCCAAGACGCATTTCGCTAATTTCAAGATCAGATATCTGGTTCAAGAAACCAAAAAAACCGCAAAGAGCATAGATGTGTTAAAGCTTGCAAAACCAGAAACTCAGAACCAACCAAACAAAGTGAGTGGTGGATCAAAGGTTCGACAGAAATTAATAGGCTTTTTCCGCTCGCTTATTGAATCTTTTATGTATTGACTGGAAGCACAAGATCAGTAAGAGAACCTACATTTGACTGTTATATCGGTCTTGCTTCCAAACAAAACTTTGAATGCACAATAGCTTCTAATCTGCAATCAATGAGATTATATCAGATATGACGAAAGAATTCAGATTCTTCTGTCTTGGATTTATATCACAGCCACACAAAAGTAAAAGAGAATCATCAACTGATTTCACAGAAGGAAAAACACTAGACTCAGGACACATCTATTCCAAAACAAAGCCCAAGCTTCTTCTCTCCCACTCATTTTTTCCCCCTCTACTTCAACCAAATCCCAATTGACAGTTCAAAAAGACAACACCAAAAAGCTAAGTACCTTCTTAAGCCTGAAATACTTCACTCAATCTCAAAACCAGAAACAAATTTCTTGGAGCAAAATGATAGAGTAAAAGGACGAGATACAGTAATGGATAAAAAAAAGATAAGGAGAAGGAAGAAAGTTTTATCATTTTTCTCCAATTTTAGTGTCAAAGAGATCACTAAACCGATAAAAGTTTTATCCTTTTGATCATCATCACAAACAACTTATGCCCAAAACCCAAATCTAGAAAAGAGACACAAATCCGATCACGAAGAAGACAAAATAGACAAATTTGATCCAAACAATTAAATCCAGCTGTCGGAAACAATCTAACCCAAATAATAGATCTCAAACAACAACAAAAACAAGAAACAAACAAATCAAAAGTGATTTCAGTGTAGAAACGACAACAAGTGAGTGAACGAAACAAAAAAGAAGAAAAAACCCTTACACTCAGTTGCGAAAACGGAGAGGATAACGAAGGCAATAACAAGAAAGCGAAGAAATAGTTGATAAACCCTAATCAGCTTTAGCATTTCGCAGAGACGTGAAGAAGTAGAAGAAT